TACAGCAACGAAACGCTATCCGTTAGCACTTTTGTCCTTGATATACAGAAAATCGCTTACCAATTGCTTTAATATAAGATACTCGAGGTAGATTTCGCATAATATTGCCAAATTGAAAGATCATGGCAAGCAAAGCATTAACTCCCAGCATTGTTCGTGCAGGAATTGCCCGTGGACCAAGAGCAAAAGATATCCAGCTGAAAACGTTGGTCAAAACAAAATCTAAAAAAGAATATAATCGAGTTACCTTATTAATATAGTGAGGTATGTGGGTAAATAAGCTTGCATGAAGTACCATACAAACCGTCGTTCGAACATGATTTGCACGTGCAACTCGTCCCACATTCCAGCTGGATAGGGCTACAATGGAGTTTTGCATCAATGCTATGAGGATTCTGCCTTCTATATGCCTCACTACACTGAATCGGAAGATGTACAAAGTGCTCCAGAGACTTACTGGAATTAATGTTGATAAAAAACTGCTTTCGTGACAAACAGTTACATGCATAATGGAGACCTAGTCATCTTCATAGCTTGTTGTAGCCATAGTGAAAGATTGAATATTTGAGAACATTCTTGTTGCTTACTTAGATTAAGTCATCTTTTTTTTCTGTTTGCATACTTCAGGTTCCTCACTCTTCTAGGTAAGCACATTCAACCTTTCAATACCATTGACATTTCAACAGTAACAATGTAAATATAATACCATTCCCATTCCTCAAAAGCTTCACATCCAATCACTTCATACCTTGCATGCAGATGAGGTCCGAGATCAACTAGTTCCGTGAAGCTTACGTTGCTCTGGTACTTTGAATGATAGATATCCAAAAATGCTTTAGGTCATTGAATTATTGCTCCATGACTGAGAAGTAGTAAAATTTGGTTGAACTACAACCAGGAGAAGTACACGGAAATATATTCCGATAAAATGTGAGATTTTGAAAAAATCCAGGCCTTATCAAAATGAGGGAAGCACCAAAATGGTATGATTTATTTTTAAAAAAACATTCTGCTTACATCAGTTAATTAGTCATATATAATTATACCAATCTAGATATAATCGCAGAGAGAGTAGTGTGCAAAAGACATTTCATCGATATACCATGTTCCGCTTTCTG